GGGTTTATATAGAAAACGAATTTCACCAGCAACATAATAATCTTCGCGCCGGTCTCTCTCAGCCTCTCCGTCTCTTTGTTTCAATCGCCTGAGAAACATCATCATCCTTTGAATCTGGGAGGAGCCCCGAACCACTAAAGAGGACGTTCAAATGTGATGGTCAACAATGTCCTCATGTGGACACTTGTAAGAACTACATTCAACATCTAGACATTACAGTATTAGAAAGATCATAATAATTATAGCCCATGAAACAGCCAAATATGAACTTCTACAGTACATGGTCAATATGAATTATCATTTCATCCCACTAATGTCTTTCAGCAAGTTTGTTTTGTCCTGAAACTAATTTACAGTTAATGCTAATAATTGACCAACTGATGACTTAACAATGACTTAACTGTTCTGCAAACATAAAACAAACTAGATATAAATACAAAATTCATAAAAACATTGCATAAACAACGTTAACAATTACTCACCACCCGGATACGCACAAGCATCACTTTCAGCAAATAGAGAAGCAAAATATAGGTTATATGTATATAGCTTATCTTTTCGAAGAATGACAGTGAGAGAATGACCTATATCGGCCTATCCCAAAATTTTACATCTTCCTTTTCAAACTGTCACCTTTCCACTCTCCTATGTATCAGAAAACCATAATTTCACTAATCAAAACTGCATGTAATTTCCTTTCAGACATAGTGCAATAATAAGCCTAAACATTCTAAGCTCCAGCCTTTTTCTTATTAAACTATATGTTTGGGTAAATATATGCATTTAATAGCTGTTGTCAGTTGGGTTTGTAATCATAAAAGGTGGGGTACCTTTTATGATTACAAACCTAACTGACGACAGCTATTAAATCCACACAGGTACTTTGAAAACGATTAATTAGACCTTTGAAACACTGTAGTATTCAACATTGAATGAGATATACAGTATTTAAATGTGTTCATATACAGTTGCCTATATGAAACACTGCAACACGGTCTTCACCTAGACCTTAATGTTCTAAAGACTACAAGCCGCGCACATTCAGACCCAGAATTTCAGCACCACGTACAGTGACCCGCACATTAAAATAACAAAGAGGCAGTGAACAATGATTGACATGAGAAAACCATGACATATACACAGCAGAGCACGGTTCATGTCAACCTACTCCACCTATGCTTAATATCAATTCTATTTCAAATCAAACGGTGGTTCAAATTACATTTTCATGTCTGTCACATTGCACAAAGCCATCCAAAATTAGCCTACATAAATAAAACTGAGGCCTGTCGCCTCGAGTTCTGGAAACAGTGAAATAATAAATTCTTAGTGCAATTACTCTTACCTTTTCTTTGTTGGGTAAAGTCTGAGTCCTAGTAAAAGTGTCGCCTCCGTTAATACTGATCAGTTCCGCATCTACAGGCGGAAACGGTGCGGGGAAAACCACTACGTCACTCTTGAGTGTGTCTGAGCTGAAACAGACGTCATACTGCTGAGTAGCTTTAGAGTAAGACCAGCTCCCGTCAGGGTGGGTGGTAATCATTGGGGCGCTGTACCTGCTGAAACTGCCGTCTGTCCTGTGGCATTTGACAGCTATTAAACTGATGAGGCTCAGCAGAAAGATCACTGACACCGACACAATGGCGATCAGCAGATACAGGTTTAAATCAGAGAAGCTGTCCTCCTTTATGGGCACATGTCTGAACTGAGTCTGGATGTCAGCTGTGCTTTCAACCACCACCACCTCAATAGACACAGTAGCTGACAGGGAGGGTTCTCCGTTATCAGAGACCAAGACCACCAAGGGGTGAGTTTTCAGGTCATTGTCGCTCATTCTCCTCTTAGTCCTGATTTCTCCGGTGCTGGTTCCGATCCTGAAGAGGTTGTTTCCTTTGGGCTCAGAGAGGTGATAAGAAAGCAGCGCATTGTATCCAGAGTCTGCGTCTACAGCCCTGATCTTTGCCACAAAGTATCCCGCTTCAGCAGAGTAGGGGATGCTCTCACTGTTAATGGAGCCGTGCTCAGAATAGGGCGCTAGAATCGAGGGACTGTTGTCATTCTCATCCAGGATAAAAACATTCACAGTCATGTTGCTACTGAGCGGAGGAACACCAGAGTCTGTGGCCTGAACTTTAAACTGAAACGTTTTTAACTCCTCGTAGTTAAAGGCCTGCAGGCTGACTATATCTCCAGTCTCTGAGTTGATGTTTACCATTGTAGAGAGAGGAACTGAGTTACTGTTGTCATGTAAAAATGAATATCTCACCTGACCATTTTGATCCATGTCAGCATCAACTGCAGTTACTGTCTTAATTACTGCTCCCACTGGACTGTTCTCTTTCACATAGACACTAATTATATTTTCTGTGAACAGAGGTTTGTTATCATTTACATCTGAGACGTGCAAAGTAATAACACTCGTGCTGGAGAGAGGCGGGCTCCCTTCGTCAGTAGCAGTGATGCTGATATTGTATTGAGATGTGCTCTCTCTGTCAAGAGGACCGTCAACCACCAATGAATAGTAATTCTTATAGTTTGATTCTAATTTGAAAGGAACGTTATTGGAAATTTTACAGTTCACCATCCCATTTTTACTCCCGTCTTTATCAAACACTGAAACAAGCGCAATAGCTGTGCCAATGGACGCGTCCTCCTTCACAGTGTTTAACAATGATGTAACTGAAATTTCAGGGGCATTGTCATTGACGTCTAAAACTTCAATCAGTAATTTTGCATGGGAGGTCATTGGTGAGGAAGCTCCATCACTGGCTTGGACTCGAATCTCAAAAGCATTGTTCTCTTCAAAGTCGATATTCTTTTTATTTGTCACAGTCCCAGTTTTTTCATCTATAGCAAACAGATCAGTTTGTTTCTCCTGGTCTATTTCAATAAAGGAATATGATATATGTCCGTTGTATCCTACATCCAAATCAGTGGCATTTAGTGTTATTATTGATGTGCCCTCCTTAACATTTTCATACACACTGGCTTTATATAGTGTTTGACTGAATATAGGGGGATTATCATTAATGTCCAGCACATTTACTACAATAATGATGCTACCTGATTTAGCAGGAGTTCCTCCATCAATGGCAGTCAGTGTGAGTCGAATCACAGACTGTTTTTCTCTGTCTAAAACTTTCTGAAGCACTAATTCTGGAGTTACCGTTTCTCCTTTAAGTGTAGCCAGAGAAAAATTTTCATTTTGACTAAGCTTGTAGGTATTTATAGTATTTTTAGCGACGTCTGCATCGTGAGCTCGTTTCAAGGGAAATTTAGCTCCTGCTGCTGTGTTCTCGGTAATGTTTATTACTTGTGACGTGCTGAGAAATGATGGAGAATTATCATTCACATCTAAAATTGTAATTTCAATCCGATACAGTTTTAATGGATTATTAATAACTGCTTCTACAGTAAGTGAACATTTTTGTTCACTGCCGCAGAGTTCCTCTCGATCTATTCTCTCATTAACGTAGAGGACACCAGTCTTTAGATTTACCTCGAAATATTTTGTCTTTGATCCAGAAACGATCTGAAACATGCGGGACTCCAAATCCTGGACATTGATGTTCAGATCTTTAGCGATATTTCCGACAACAGTCCCCAGATTTACCTCCTCTGAGACGGAGTAAGAGAGCTGCCCAGACACCGCTTCCCAGTAACAATCGAGTACCACGAAGAAGAGATAGATCCACACAGAGCCCGCCCTGCCCAGTAAATGCATAATTCCATACATCGAAAAGGAGCATCTAAGCAAATCTGAACAATATGTTACAGCCACTACTATATCAAGATTAGGAAAGAAATATTCCAAACAAATATTTTGGCATTTCGACGACCAAACAAGACGACGGTTCTTTGTCAGACGATCTCTCTTTGTAACAAAGCCCACAGATTCATCATAAGCTGAGTCTGGGAGGAGCCCTAAACCACCAAAGAGGACGTCCAAATGTGATGGCCTGCAGTGTTCCCATGTGGACATTTCTCATAACTACATGCTATATTAAGTATAATAACATTGGAAAGTATTATTTATTGTCAGTTCTCCTTAAGCATGAATCAGTTCCAAAACAGGAGGGTCAAAAAATGAATAGGAAGGTTAAACCCAATGATCAGTACAAGGTAGATTAAATGACTTAAGTGTTCTCTATAATAAAGGCTATTTTATAAAGTGACAAAAATATCAAGGAAATCCTTACGGCAGTGACAACGAGTTAATAGAAGAAATACACGTCCCTATGTTTTTTTTTTTTTTTTTTTAAATCTTACGACTAAAGTGACTGCAGTTTTCTTGAATATAGATTGTGAAATCTTTGACATACTCTTCAACAGTTAGTACGAAAGAGATTTGTCAATGTATTTAAGGAAAACAACACATGAACGTTTTTTTTTTTTTTTGCAATATGTTGAGGGAACTGCAAGTAAGTCTGCATTCAGCACCACGGATAGCGACACACAATTCGAATACCAATCGGCCGCTATAATGACTGAAATTTAAAAGCAACTAACAAATGCACAGCTACAGTGACAATTTTAAACTACAAATTCATTTCCCCCATTATTTTAACTTTATTAATTCTCACTTACTTAGACAGAATTCAGTGTAAATGCCAGACCATGACTAAGGGAAAAGCCCATTTGAAACAAGTAGGGTAATGTAACTATTCCTATACTTCTAATGAGATTGTATACTTTAATATTCAACATTATACCAGATGTGTGTAAATATGCTCATACACATGGTAGCAATAACTGACCCCGACATTGAAAATAATGAATATGCAGTCAACAGTAATTTAGATGAGAAAACCGTCGACAATAGGCTAGACAGCGGGTCACAGTTTAGAAGTTATTAAACTACTCTGCTTATATGCCTACTTTGTTAATAATTATAGAATTAAGCTTTTTTGTTAGTTACACAACAGATAGCCATTTAAAATAACACAACTGCGAAATTTAGTCTCCTATTCTCAACATAGAAACAGTGCAGTATTAAACAGTTAATGCAATTGTATTCTTACCTTTTCTTTATTAGGTAAAGTCTGAGTTCTGGTAAAAGTGTCTCCTCCGTTAATACTGATCAGCTCCGCATCTACAGGCGGAAACGGTGCGGGGAAAACCACTACGTCACTCTTGAGCGTGTCTGAGCTGAAACAGACGTCATACTGCTGAGTAGCTTTAGAATAAGACCAGCTCCCGTCAGGGTGGGTGGTGATCATTGGGGCGCTGTACCTGCTGAAGCTGCCGTCTGTCCTGTGGCATTTGACAGCTATTAAACTGATGAGACTCAGCAGAAAGATCACTGAAACCGACACAATGGCGATCAGCAGATACAGGTTTAAAGCAGAGAAGCTGCCCTCCTTTACGGGCACATGTCTGAACTGAGTCTGGCTGTCAGCTGTGCTTTCAACCACCACCACCTCAATAGACACAGTAGCTGACAGGGAGGGTTCTCCGTTATCAGAAACCAAGACCACCAAGGGGTGAGTTTTCAGGTCATTGTCACTCATTCTCCTCTTAGTCCTGATTTCTCCGGTGCTGGTTCCGATCCTGAAGAGGTTGTTTCCTTTGGGCTCAGAGAGGTGATAAGAAAGCAACGCACTGTATCCAGAGTCTGAGTCTACAGCCCTGATCTTTGCCACAAAGTATCCTGCTTCAGCAGAGTAGGGGATGCTCTCACTGTTAACGGAGCCGTGCTCAGAATAGGGCGCGAGAACTGCGGGACTATTGTCATTCTCATCCAGGATAAAAACGTTCACAGTCACGTTGCTACTGAGCGGAGGAACACCAGAGTCTGTGGCCTGAACTTTAAACTGAAACGTTTTTAACTCCTCGAAGTTAAATGACTGAAGACTGACTATATCTCCTGTCTCCGAATTGATGTTCACCATTGTTGAGAGTGGAAATGAGTTATTGTTACTTTTGACAATGGAATAGCTTACCTGGGCATTTTTATCGATATCTGCATCAACTGCTGATACTGTTTTTAAAACGGCTCCAACAGGACTATTTTCTTTCAAATAAATATTGGCAAAAGTGTCTGAAAAACGAGGGTAGTTGTCATTGACATCGGAAACATGAATGGTAAGATCCCTGCTGCTCATGAGAGCTGGGATTCCGTCATCCGTTGCTATGATAGTGACATTATAATGTGAAGCACTCTCTCTGTCTAGTTCTCCGTCTACAACCAAAGAATAATAGTTTTTATAATTTGGTTCCAATTTAAAGGGGCTGCCATTTTTAATATTACAATGAACTACTCCATTTTTACCCCCATCTCTGTCCAGGACTGACACAAGTGCAACAGCAGTTCCTAATTTTGCATCCTCTCTAACTGTTTCAGTTAGTGATGTTACAGATATTTCAGGCTTATTGTCATTTAAATCCAACACTTCAATTAGTACTTTGCACTGTGTTGCCATTGGAGGAGAGCCTTTATCACTAGCTTGCACCCGGATTTCAAAAGCCGGGTGCTCCTCAAAGTCGATCTTTCCCTTAACTGTCAGTAAACCTGTGTGCTCATCAATTTGAAATATTTGCAAAACATGGTCTTGATCTTTGCTGCTGAGTGAATATGAAATATCCCCGTTTGGACCTTCATCAGCGTCTGTCGCCGTTATTGTTATTACTGTAGTACCAAGCGGCACATTTTCACTAATACTGGTTTTATACAGTGATTTGGTAAACAGTGGGATGTTATCATTGACGTCTAAAATATTGATTATTATCTGTGATGTTCCGGATTTCAGAGGTGTCCCACCATCAACAGCAGTCAATGTGAGTTTAATTACAGGCTGTTTTTCTCGATCTAATGGCTTCTGGAGGATGAGCTCTGCAGACACACTTTCTCCTTTGTTCACTAATAATGAAAAATGGTCATTTTGGTTTAGCTTGTAAGTGCTGATACCATTTTTTCCTACATCGGCATCATAGGCCGATAACACAAGAAATTTAGACCCAGGTAATGTGCTTTCGGCTATTTCAATACTTTGTGAATTGGCACTGAAAGACGGATAGTTATCATTCACATCTAGAATATTTATTTCTAAACGATAAAGCTTCAGTGGAGCATTGATCACTGCCTCCACGCTCACTGTGCATTTCGTCGCCTTCGCACAGAGCTCCTCTCTATCTATTCTGTCATTAACAAAGAGGAGACCAGTTTTAAGATTTACCTCGAAAAATTTTCTCTTGGATCGGGTAACAATCTGAAACATACGAGACTCCAGATCATCGATACTAAGATTGAGATCCTTGGCTAAATTTCCTACGGAAGTCCCCGGATTCACCTCTTCTGATATGGAGTAGGAGAGCTGCCCTGACACCGCTTCCCAGTAACAGCCCAGCAACACAAATAACACGTATGCCACCACAGGAGCCCAGTTATTTGAAGACATAATACAATCCGATGTGTGACCAACATAGGAATAAGTCCAACCGATGTCCAGTATCAAAGGAAAATGTGTTTCTTTCTCTTAGAATTTGTCCATAATGCTGTTTGGGCTCCAGCCTTTTCTCTGTTCCTCTGCGTCTCTTTGTGTAAGAGCCGAACAAGACACTCTGACGCTCTTAAGCTGGGAGTGGCCTAGACATTTTAATGAAATCCTCTCTGTGTTATGGCCTATAGTGCCCCATCATGGTCTTGTGGACTAATTACATCACAAACCAGGGGGAAAACAGCCGAACATGTAATGTCCTTTCACAAAACATCTCTTTTTATTGCTCAGCACAAAATGGCCAGTTTCAGATCTGACTGAGTTAACGGGTCCTATTATCTACTAATATGCAACGTCTCTTGTATTCGAAAATGAGGAGAAACACGTCTGTTTATGATTGGCATGTTTGCATCTTTGAAATAAATGTAATGTTTAGGCAAAAAACTTTACAATATACGGTCAATGATACGGCGAAAGAAGAGAAAATCTTTAAGGGGCATTATCCATTTGCTCAACCAAAAGAATATTACAGGAAACTTAAAAATTGGCAGAAAAAGCAATAATTATCCTGATTATAAACTCAGAATAATTATAGAGACACTCGATAATGACTCGCTTATATAACAACAAATGAGTGGACTTTAAAAATTCAGCACTCCATCAATGAGAGCTAATCAGCCACCAAATTTATGATGCACATTTTGCACATGAGACAATGAACTCTATGTATAAGTGCCATTGTAAAAGAAAAAGTGATGAACGTGACACTTGGAAACTGCGCAAAAAAGTAAAATAGTAAGGATAACAATAATAATAATTAACGTACAAATTAGCGCTGCTTTGAATATGTAAAAAAAAACATTGAAACACCAACAGTATCTCATTATCTAAATAGATTAGTTTTTGTCTACAGCTCCATAGACAGCGACTATTGCACTTGAATGGAAAAAACTGGTTAACAAGTTGTTTAGAAGACGACAGATAAAAACGTCTCTTTTCAAAACATCACAGAAAGACAAATGAAGAAAAGAAAAGTAATGAACAACTAAATACATTAATAGCAACAAAGCCCAGTCTTTAGTAATGCTTACTGCTTTGTATGAATTCGTAGGCCGCTATGAATGTGCTGCTCTTACCTTTTCTTTATTAGGTAAAGTCTGAGTCCGGGTAAAAGTGTCTCCCCCGTTAATGCTGACCAGCTCAGCATCTACAGGCGGAAACGGAGCGGGGAAAACCACTACGTCACTCTTGAGTGTGTCTGAGCTGAAACAGACGTCATACTGCTGAGTAGCTTTAGAGTAAGACCAGCTCCCGTCAGGGTGGGTGGTGATCATTGGGGCGCTGTACCTGCTGAAACTGCCGTCAGTCCTGTGGCATTTGACAGCTATTAAACTGATGAGACTCAGCAGAAAAATCACTGACACCGACACAATGGCGATCAGCAGATACAGGTTTAAATCAGAGAAGCTGTCCTCCTTTATGGGTACATGTCTGAATTGAGTCTGGATGTCAGCTGTGCTTTCAACCACCACCACCTCAATAGACACAGTAGCTGACAGGGAGGGTTCTCCGTTATCAGAAACCAAGACCACCAAGGGGTGAGTTTTCAGGTCATTGTCACTCATTCTCCTCTTAGTCCTGATTTCTCCGGTGCTGGTTCCGATCCTGAAGAGGTTGTTTCCTTTGGGCTCAGAGAGGTGATAAGAAAGCAGCGCATTGTATCCAGAGTCTGCGTCTACAGCCCTGATCTTTGCCACAAAGTATCCCGCTTCAGCAGAGTAGGGGATGCTCTCACTGTTAACGGAGCCGTGCTCAGAATAGGGCGCGAGAACCGCGGGACTGTTGTCATTCTCATCAAGGATAAAAACGTTTACAGTCACGTTGCTGCTGAGCGGAGGAACACCAGAGTCTGTGGCCTGAACTTTAAACTGAAACGTTTTTAACTCCTCGTAGTTAAAGGCCTGCAGGCTGACTATATCTCCAGTCTCTGAGTTGATGTTTACCATTGTCGAGGGAGGTACTGAGTTACTGTTGTCATGTAAAAGTGAATATCTCACCTGACCATTTTGATCCATGTCAGCATCAGTTGCTGAAACGGTTTTTATAACTGCTCCTATGGGACTGTTTTCTTTCACATAGACACTAATTATATTTTCTGTGAACAGAGGTTTGTTATCATTTACATCTGAGACGTGCAAAGTAATAACACTCGTGCTGGAGAGAGGTGGGGTCCCTTCGTCAGTAGCAGTGATGCTGATATTGTATTGAGATGTGCTCTCTCTGTCGAGAGGACCGTCAACCACCAATGAATAGTAATTCTTATAGTTTGATTCTAATTTGAAAGGAACGTTATTGGAAATTTTACAGTTCACCATCCCATTTTTACTCCCGTCTTTATCAAACACTGAAACAAGCGCAATAGCTGTGCCAATGGAAGCGTCCTCTTTCACGGTGTTTAACAGTGATGTAACTGAAATTTCAGGGGCATTGTCATTGACGTCTAAAATTTCAATAAGTAATTTAGCATGTGAAGTGAGAGGAGAAGAAGCTCCATCACTGGCTTGGACTCGCATCTCAAAAGCATTGTTCTCTTCAAAGTCGATATTTTTTTTATTTGTTACAGTCCCAGTTTTTGCGTCTATAGCAAACAGATCAGTTTGTTTCCCTCGTCCTACTTTACTAAATGAATACAACACTTGTCCGTTTGAGCCTTCATCTAAATCAGTAGCGTTGAAAGTTATTATCGATGTGCCTATTTTCACATTCTCATAAACACTGGCTTTGTACAGAGTTTGACTGAATACAGGAGAATTATCATTAATGTCCAATACATTCACTATTATAGTCATTGTCCCTGATTTAGCAGGAGTTCCTCCATCAATGGCAGTCAGTGTGAGTCGAATCACGGACTCTTTTTCTCTGTCTAAAACTTTCTGAAGCACTAATTCGGGTATTAAACTCTCTCCTTTGTATGTATCAATAGAGAAGTGATCGTTTTGACTAAGTTTGTAGGTATTTACAGTATTTTTACCGACGTCTGCATCGTCAGCAGGTTGCAGGGGGAATTTAGACCCTGCTGCTGTGCTCTCAGTAATGTCGATCACCTGTGACGTGCTGAGAAATGAGGGAGAATTGTCATTCACATCCAAGATTATAATTTCAATCCGATACAGTTTTAATGGATTATTAATAACTGCTTCTACAGTAAGTGAACATTTTTGTTCACTGCCGCAGAGTTCCTCTCGATCTATTCTCTCATTAACGTAGAGGACACCAGTCTTTAGATTTACCTCGAAATATTTTGTCTTTGATCCAGCAACGATCTGAAACATGCGGGACTCCAAATCCTGGACATTGATGTTCAGATCTTTAGCGATATTTCCGACAACAGTCCCCAGATTTACCTCCTCTGAGACGGAGTAAGAGAGCTGCCCAGACACCGCTTCCCAGTAACAATCCAGCAGCACGAACAAGAGATAGATCCACACAGAGCCCGTTCTGCCTGGTAAATGCATAATTCCATACATCGGGAAACGTATAAAGAGAAATTCGCCCAGTCACTGACCAAAATAAGGAAATTAAAAAGAATCACCAAATAAAAGATGAGGATTTTTCGCCATATTCACTGTTCAATAAGAAATGGTCTTAGCACAGATCTGTTTCGCCCTCACAGTCTCTTTGTTTCGATCTCCCGAGAAATATCATCCACTGAACATGGGAGGAGCCCAGAACCACTAAATACGAAGTTCAAATGTGATGGTCTACAATGTCCCCATGTGGACACTTTCAGGAACAACATTCAACTTCAACACACAATAGCAAGAACCTTACATTGTTGATTTCCCCTTCAACCTTTAGCCAAGCAATTCTATATCTTACAGAAGAGTCAGCAGAACTGGTTGATTCTCCAAGTTAACATTGTATACCTTTATGTACTTTTACTTGTATGAAATGTTTTTAGAAATGTGACTCAAAATTTGTTGAGTCAGCTATTGTGGTTACAGAAGAAACGCACACACACACACACACACACACACACACAACCCCACACACACACACACACACACACACACACACACAACAAAAAATACAACCACAACCAATTTCTAGAAGACTGGACTGCACGAAATTCCGTACACTTGCACGGAGTCTTTTATTCCTTATTAATAAACATATTGTTTTGGTCCGGGGGATTAGACAGAACACACATGCAGAAACGTTCAGCACCAAGGATAGTGAAATACCCATTAAAAACCTTGCAACAAGTAATGAATGAGATTAGTGATGCATCAACAAATCACACATTTATAACAGGTTCATAACAAGACAAACAAAAGTTTTAAATGTTTCTCTTTGAACTAAATCTGAAGACTATTCCTTTGTCAGTTAGTAGTCACCATGCGACATGGCATAACGCTTTTTGAAAACTACTGAAAATAAAATTTCAGCTATTCCCAATCAGTCGACACAAGTGTAGTATAATAAAATGCCTGAGCACGTAATGTTAACATGTTCTTACCTTTTCTTTATTAGGTAAAGTCTGAGTCCTGGTAAAAGTGTCTCCTCCATTAATACTGATCAGTTCCGCATCTACAGGCGGAAACGGTGCAGGGAAAACCACCATGTCACTCTTGAGCGTGTCTGAGCTGAAACAGACGTCATATTGCTGAGTAGCTTTAGAGTAAGACCAGCTCGCGTCAGGGTGGGTGGTGATCATTGGGGCGCTGTACCTGCTGAAACTGCCGTCTGTCCTGTGGCATTTGACAGCTATTAAACTGATGAGACTCAGCAGAAAGATCACTGACACTGACACAATGGCGATCAGCAGATACAGGTTTAAATCAGAGAAGCTGTCATCCTTTATGGGCACATGTCTGAACTGAGTCTGTATGTCAGCTGTGCTTTCAACCACCACCACCTCAATAGACACAGTAGCTGACAGGGAGGGTTCTCCGTTATCA